ACTCGCTCGAGCGTCAAGACACAACTGCAAAATACACCTGCTCGAGCGCAAAGGAAAACCTGCTCGAGCGTAGATTACCCTCTTCCAGTATTTTTACAGACATTGAACACCTGCGAGAGCGCAAAAAGGTCCGCTCGAGCATGACCCGCTCGAGCGTAAAGAACTCCGCTCGAGCGTGAAAAACAAACCTGCAGTACTTTTGCAGAGGAACAAAATGCTGAAAGTGTGCAAACTTCGCTCGAGCTCAAAGGGATCCGCTCAAGCGGACCACAAAAAAAAAAAACTAGGCAACAAGAAATGGAACCAAGGCTCAACCAACCCTCGAGCATGACCCGCTCGAGCGTAAAGAACTCCGCTCGAGCGTGAAAAACAAACCTGCAGTACTTTTGCAGAGGAACAAAATGCTGAAAGTGTGCAAACTTCGCTCGAGCTCAAAGGGATCCGCTCAAGCGGACCACAAAAAAAAACTAGGCAACAAGAAATGGAACCAAGGCTCAACCAACTTGTTCGAAACACGCCCAACACATCCTAAAACCAAAATATATGGAATTAAAGGATGACAACAAGACATATACAACAACCAACTCCACAGAACCTAAGTCCGGATACAACAATCAAAGAGGAAGAATCAGGATCGCTATATCAATATATACTATGTTAAAGAGAGTTTGTAAACAAAATATATATATATATATATTTTTTTTTTACAACAACATTAATAAGAGGAGTACTGACTCTAATAGAATTTAAGTGGCGCCCAGTAGGCTTATAGAGAGATTTTCTAAAAGTTTTTGATATTATAACAAAATCATTTTCTTATATATATATATATATATATATTCGTACTTCAGCATTTGTTTTACATATGTTAGCAAAAATAATGAAAGTTTTCAAAAAATATAAGGGTAATGAATATTATATAGCCATTATTACTGCAATGAAAGAAAGATTTGATAAATATATTAATCTATTGCCTCATTTTTTAGGTTTAGCCATTGTAATTAATTCTAGGTGCAAAGAAATTAGTTTACAAGAATTTTTAGATCTTATTTTCGCTGATGTAAAACAATTTGCCCCTATTATGAAAACATGTACAAAATTATTAAAAGAATATAGGGAAGCTATATTTGTAAATACACCTTCACACACTACACCAGCCTCATCTCGATGTGAAAAATGTTTTTTCCAATAAAAGGTAAAAGAATATTTCAATATACAAGCGTAAATAGTTCTAAATTACAACGTTATTTGGATAGCTTACAGTGGATAATAAGGATGATTTTGATATTTTGAATTGGTGAAAACAAAATCAACTTATGTAGCCTGTGCTTTCACAGATGGCCCGTACCGTTCTTATTTTTACAGTTGCTTTTGAAATAACTTTTAGTGCAGGTGGACGAGTGCTGAGCGATTATCGCATTAGACTTTCATCCCAAATGGTTAAGGCACTGATGATATCGAAAGATCATATGCATGCGCTTACGAGAAAGACAAAATTATAGTGAAATGAGAGAATTCAATACGATTTGGATGATATATCATCGAGTAGCGCGAGTAAATTGTCTGCCTCCTCCGATGATTGATCAACATTTTTTTTCCCGCTATTTCATTTCATAATGTATCTATTAGATTATTGAAGTAGAGTATAATGCAAATAATTGATAGGCTAGTAGGTGCCAATCTAGTTAGGATGTATTTGACTTATAGTAATATAATTTTTCTATCATCATGAATAATCTATATCTATTTTATTTAATGATATAAATTTTTGTAATATTTTATTTTATTTTGAAATAGAAGTTATTCATCAAATAAATATTATCTATTTAATTTAATGATTGTAATATTTCGTTTCATTAATATATATATATATATATATAATTATTCATTTCAAAGAAGAAAACTACATTATTTCATACTTTTTTTAGTCATAATAAAAAAAAAATACATAAGTCATACATGATTAAATACCACTACATGAAACATAATTAAACATCCCATTAATCTTAGGGATTTTTATTGATAAATCTCATTTAGAAGTGTTCTAACCCAAGAAATCCATGAAAGAATTTTTTTACCCACTTAGTCTCATGTATTTATATTTTTATTTCATAAAATCATTTTTCTTGATTTACACTATTTTCTAAGACTCTTATACCCTTATATTTAATATTGATATTTAATGTTGGGGGAGAAGAGATAAGGGAAATGACCAAGGCATAAAATTTTTTATACACAAATTAAATGACATTAATGTTATTATTTTATATTATTATATAATGTGAATATATTTTTAATTGACAACACATTAAAAATAATATGAACATTTTCTCTCATTTGATGTGAATATATTTTTAATTAATAACACATTTAAAAATAATATAAATATTCTCTCTCATCTGATATGAACGTTCACAACATCTTTCCGAAAAATTCTCTCTCAATTAATGTAGTGATATGAACGTTTACACTATGTGAACCTTTTTATTTTTAATTGACAACACATTAAAAATAACGTTCATTACACATTCTTATTCACAACATGTAGTGATGTGAACATTCACAAACATATGAACATTCTCTCTCATCTAATGTAGTGATGTGAACGTTTACATTCGTATGTTTTAGTATGAATATTCACATCATGTAATTGACAACACAATGACAAAAATTCATTTCAAATTAATATGAATATAATGATGTGAATATTTATTTCAATCACATGATGTGAATATTCACATAATGTAATTAAACACACAATGATAAAAAATTCATTTTAAATTAATATGAATAGAATGACAGTCAACATTTTGATGCATGATAACTACCAAAACATAATAACGATCAACATTAAATATTAACATTAATAGGGAGCATGAGAGATTAATGGTGTTTTGGTCTTCTTACCTCAAATAGGATCAAATGGAATAGTTAAAAATAATATGGGTTGAATAAAATAAAACTCTTAGAAAGAGGATTTCTAAAAAAAAAACTTCCTTAATCTTAACTATAGTACAATTTTTCTTTTATTTTTTATCCTCATAAATAATCTGTATATATAGGCGGTGTTTGGGAACCTTGGCCACGGGCTATTTTAGCCTCAAATATACAAAAAAGTCTTTTAGCCCCCAAAATGCATTGATTTAAAATATATATATATATATATATCTCGGCAGTGGGCGCGGTTTACATTGTCAACGTGACAATATAAGCACAAGTAGTGACAGCCCCATTATTTTAGAAAGTAAATGACAATTTTGCCCCTTCAGATCTATTTTGAAAAAAGTGAGGTTAGGGACAAATTTGTCATTTCAGTCTCAAACATTATTTCAAACACATTTTTTAATATACAACGTAAATAAAAATCCATCCTATCTTCTCAAATACAAAAATTAAAATAGTTAAAAAGTTAAAAAACTTTTAAAATAATCACTTCCCAAACACTCACATAATATATCTATCGTTTACTTTTTATAGGAAAAAAAGAAAGAAAAAAAGGCTCGCAAAATCCGTCCCAAAAAATGACGGGAGCCCGCGAGGCCTAAAGGCAGGCCGGGTTCAAATTACACTCTACACGTGATGGAGAATGGAGTCTAAGATGGATAATTAGGTCATTTCATAAAATCACATCCTTATAAACTGAATAATTTTGCACATGAATCTTTGGACAAAACAAAATCAGATTTGACTTCTGAACTGAAGGCCGAAATATGAATTAGGTTCATTATTATATAGTCATATTCATTTAACTATATTTTTAACCTGCTGAAAAAACAGCAAGAAAGGGAATTCTTTGATAACGAGTGCTCAAAAAGTTCACAACTGGAGACCCGTTTGGAATTTGGTTTAAAAAGTTAAAAAATATTATAAATTGTCATATTACTCTTTATATTTTTTAAATTTTTTTAGTAAAAAATTAAAAAAATTAATTAATATAGTCAATTTCCAAATAGGGCCTAAATATTAGAAGTTAGAACACTTAGATTGTTTTTGAATTATAAAATTTCGGTAGAGATTTAGTAAGGAAAAGAAAAGGAAAAAAAAAGTAAAATGTAAATTAAATATAGTTATATTTCAACTACATCTCACCACCTTTTCCTTTCCTTTTCTAAATTCCTATTCAAATTTATGATCTAAACACATACTTAGAATATCTCCATTAAACTAGCTACTAAATGTAACTAAATGTTACTAAATTTTACCTCCATCAAACTAGGTATGAAGTTAGTCATTTTTGTTTTTGTAATTTTGACTCAACAAATATTACTAGTGATTTCACTTAGAGCATCTCCAACCGTGAATCAAAAATTTCACCAATTCTGAGTTCAAAAAATCTGATGCTGGGTTTGGTTCAGCGTTGGAGATGGTCTTAGTCAAACATTAAAAGAGTTTACTTTTCATATTTTGAAATTATTTGTGTTGATTTTTAAAAAATAATTCTAAATTAAAATCAATAAAAATAATATAGAAAAAGAATAAAGAGTTTAGCCAAAATAGAAAAAATAACTTCTAAGTCAAAATACAATAAAATTCTAACTAGTATGATAGAGATGCTCTTAGGGTCGGTTTGAGAAGTGGTTATCTTAATAATTTTTTGATTAAAATATAGGTGAAAGTATAAACATGTTTGAAAATACTTTTTTAATTTTTATAAAAAAAAACGTATAAAATATAGAGAAAATAAAAATTTTAATTTTTTTTATACGACTGACTTTTTTAGTGACTTGAAACAAAATAAACCATTAATTTTTAATTTAATCAATTTAAACTATAATGTTTTGGCTTTTTTTAATTTAAATTATTTGTCTATTTTTGTTTTATAAAATTGACCGAAAATAGTATTTTATTATAAGACTCAAATTTTTTTTTTTTTTTTTGGGACGGTCATTTTCTCGTACGGATTGAAAACTAAAAAAACAAAACTCGTGGTAAATGTGTTAATCATGTCGTACTATAAAGACGGAAGCAATTAAACGCGTTCTATAAATAGGGGGCCTCTTCTTCACTCATTCAAGCTCATCAATCACCCCAAGAACAAACGTACTTTCCATAAAACACAAAACAAAAAAACACTTCCTAAACATTGTCCTCATCATGCAAATCTTCCACTGTGCATCTCCTCCTTCTCATCTTCCCATTGCTCCAAACAACATCCCACAAATCAACAAGACTAGTCTCATTGCATCATCTAGTACACTTAAAACCCACAAATGGAGCATTGGTGATGATCTCACTTTAGTTTCCAACCCCTCAATACAGAAAGACTATCTAACTGGATATCGCAGCTTAACCGTTAAGTTTTTCTTTTTTAATTTTATCACTAATCTTCGAAAATCTTGATGTTCTTGAGCTGACAATGTGGAACTTATTTGCAGGATGACTTTTGTGTAAAGCATGAACAAAAATTGAAGGAAGCTAAGAGGATGTTGAGGAAAGTAGGAGAGAACCCATTAGAAGGTTTGGTCATGATCGATAACCTCCAACGCCTAGGCATCGATTACCATTTCCAAGAAGAGATTGAAGCACTTCTACAAAGCCAATATACGAAATCCAACGCTACTACGCTTGGTTATGACCTTTATGAAGTTTCTACTCGCTTTCGTCTACTAAGGCAAGAAGGGTACAATGTGCCCGCGGGTATGTGAATTTTCATTATTTTTTCACTACCCAACTTCATTTTTTGAATTCTTTTTTATCAGTAATATTTGTGCTTGAAATAAGTGTAAATGAATGGGAAATTGGTAATGGAACAGATGTGTTTAACAACTTTAAGGCTAAGAACGGAAAGTTCAAACCAGAACTAAATGCAGATATGAGAGGGTTGATGAGTTTGTATGAAGCTTCACAGCTAAGCATAGAAGGAGAAGACATTCTTGATCAAGCCGCAGACTTTAGTACCCGAGTCCTTAACGGGTTGATGCCACATCTTTCTCATCATCAAGCTCGAGTTGTCAGCAACACACTGGGAAATCCCCATCACAAGAGCCTAGCAAGGTTCATGGCAAGAGATTTCCTTAGTGATTACACGAACCCAAGTGAATGGGAAAATGTCTTGCAAGAACTGGCGAAAATGGATTTTAACATGGTTCAATTCACACACCAAAAAGAAATACTTCAAGTATCAAAGTAAGATTTTGTTTTTAATTTAGTGCAGAGAATATTGTGAGTCTAATTTTGTTCACTCACTTAACAAGTAGATAAAGAAAACTCTCTTACCTAATTAGTTATAATAGTGGGAATTATTACCTCAACTAGGACCCACCTCACCTTTTTTTAACTCGTGTTAAGTGAATGAACAAAATTGTTTTCAATGACAGGCATGTTAAGTTTGTTCAAATACGAAGATTCTTCTGCTTTAATTTGTAGTTTTGTGATCTCAGGTGGTGGAAAGACACGGGTTTGGCGAGTGAACTGAAGTTCGCTAGAGACCAACCTCTAAAATGGTACATGTGGCCTATGGCAGCCCTCACAGATCCAAGGTTCTCAGAGCAAAGAGTTGAGCTCACAAAACCCATCTCTTTCATCTACTTAATAGATGATATTTTTGATGTTTATGGGACACTTGAAGAACTCACTCTCTTCACAGAAGCTGTCAATAGGTATGCATCATCACCCTTTATTTTCAGAAGTCTATTCAATTATATTGTGTGGATGTGAATGCATCAGAGATATAGTTGTTTAAAATAAAGTTTATATAGATCAATAATTATTGGATAGTACAGATGGGAACTTGGTGCTGTGGAGCAACTACCAGAGTACATGAAGATTTGTTTCCAGGCTCTTGATGATATTACAAACCACATTGCTTACAAGGTCTACAGAGAACATGGATGGAACCCCATAGATTCTCTTAGAAGAACGGTACACCATAACATTTCTAGCTAATTGTACATTCACATTGTCATACTGAATTTGTAATTGGATTTTAAATTTGTTGAGTGAAAAGATAAATGAAGAGTAATACTAAAAGTTCAAAGTTTTATCTCGAACTTTATAGAGAAATATCAATTTATGCCTCAGATTCATTCATATTTAGACCCTACATTATACTAATTCAATCTTTATCAAACAAACATATTACCCAAAAAAATAGTGACAATTTTTCTAGGACAACAGGATTTCTATAAATGAAGTAAAAGTAAGGCATGTTTAGTGTTGTCACTACATTATATAAGGATTTTAAAAATCAAATATTTTTTCATCTCCAAAACAAAAATTTTGTTGGAAAAATATTAGAAGACAAAATTGTCACGAAAAGGCCATCCCGAGAAATCCAAAAAAAAAACAAAAATAAATAAATAAAAGAAACCCTTTAAAAACAATTTTTAAAATATTGGTAATAAATGCACTTTTAGTGATAATTATTTTGTCTCAAAATATTTACTTTTTGAAACGAAAATTTTGGTCTAAAAAATATAGTAACTCATTATTAAATACAAACGTGATGGAGACCCCTAGTTTTCCCCACTCCACCACCCCACACACACGTGGGGGTTGGTTATTGGAAGAAGAAAAAAAAAAAAAATTCTGCACTAATCAGACTCCACTGGAACCCCAGTGGGGGTCTGAAAACATTAGTCTATTAAATAAACTAAAAATGCAGTGACTATTCTTTTGGCTACTAAGCCTATGTTTGGGAAGTTGGGCTTGAAGATTTTTTTGGCTAAAATAGTCATAAAAAATAAAATAGGTTTTTTAGTTCAACAAGACAAAATATCACATCTAACCTATAATCATTACATTCTTTTTCTCATAAAAAAATCAAAAAATTCAAAAGTCCTTCCCAAACCAAACTTTTTAGCCACAAGCTAAAATAGCCAAAAAAATAAAAAAGTTAACTCACTTCCCAAACGAAGCCTAAGATATTTTCATTCTAAAAAGTGATTTCATTCTTAAAACCTTAATTTGTTGTAGGGTGTTATTGTTGTTGTTTTTATTTGTTTTATATTTATTTTTATCTTTCAAGTTTTGGAAAGAAAAGTAATAAAATGTTCAAAAACTCCTATTTTCATTTTCTATTTGAAATCATTTTCAAAAACTCAAAAATCACTTTTTTTTTGATTGGCAAACTCGAAAATAACTTTTTCACATTTCCTAAAAAGTTAGTTGCTTTTAACGACTTTATTCGTAAACCTTAATTTGTTGTAGGGTGTTATTGTTGTTGTTTTTATTTGTTTTATATTTATTTTTATCTTTCAAGTTTTGGAAAGAAAAGTAATAAAATGTTCAAAAACTCCTATTTTCATTTTCTATTTGAAATCATTTTCAAAAACTTCAAAAATCACTTTTTTTTGATTGGCAAACTCGAAAATAACTTTTTTACATTTCCTAAAAAGTTAGTTGCTTTTAACGACTTTGTAAACAATTTTGAAGAACTGTCACCACATAAGTTTTTTATTTTTTGTGTTGTAGAAAATGAAAAATGAAAAATGAAACCAAGTAGGCCCCCCTTTTTTCTGGGGCAATTACAATTCAGTGTACTTTCAAAAAAATAATTATAGATTCATTAAAAATATATATATATATATATAACTTTAATTATTAGGTATCGTTTAGGAACATGCCATTTTAGTAATTTTTTGACTTTTTGGCTAAAATAAAAGGTAAAAAAAACTAGTATGTTTGGGGTGACTTTTTGACTTTTTACGAAAAGATGTGCAAAAAGTAGAGAGAAAATAGAATCTTTGACTTTTTGATATAGGTTATAGGCTTTTTGGCTTTTTTTACTTTTTTTGTTGTAGAAAATGAAAAATGAAACCAAGTAGGCCCCCTTTTTTTCTGGGGGAATTACAATTCAGTGTACTTTCAAGAAAATAATTATAGATTCATTAAAAAAAATATAAAACTTTAATTATTAATGTTGATAAAAAATTTCACTAATCTGTAACTATTTAAAAAAAAAAAATACACTGACATGTAATTTTTCCTTTTTTTTTTTTTTTTCTCCTTTTGGTACACAAATCCGTTCACAAATCTAAGAATTGATAACAAGTCCTTGATTGTTTGTTGTTGCAGTGGGCAAGTTTATGCAATGCTTTCTTAGTAGAAGCAAAGTGGTTTGCCTCAGGGCACTTGCCAAAACCAGAAGAGTACTTGAAGAATGGTGTGATTAGTTCAGGGGTACATGTGGTATTAGTACACATGTTCTTTCTATTAGGTCACAACATAACCAAGCAAAATGTCAATCTTGTGAATGACAATCCAGGCATTGTGACTTCTACAGCTACAATTCTTCGTCTTTTTGATGATTTGGGAAGTGCCAAGGTATCAACAATCTCTATCCTTTTTCTTTAGTTCCTATGATTTGTCTATCACTAGTTTGTCATGTCATATGAAAAGTCGAACTTTAAGTTGATCAATCATATAAGCTTTATTCACCACAATTACTTGATACATATGCGCAAAAAGAAAAAATTATGTGTATTCAATGATTAAGACAAAACTTCAACCATTATCTCGAATAAAAACTACTCGGAACACATGAAGGTTGTACAAAATGTTAGACTTCTCCTATGTTGCATTCATAAGCCATAAAAAAAATAAAATAAAATAAAAATAAAAATAAAAAATAATTAAAATAAAAAACTTAGTCTATAAACTCATTGTCAATTGATTTTGAGTTTGATGTTTTAACAAAGTACAAAGATGGGTCTTGGATGGTCTCCAATGAGTCGAGGAGTCTCAGCCTCAGTCTATTATCTTATCTCTCGTCTCTCAATTATCTCCACATGCGAGTCTCAGCCTCAGTCTAAGTCTATTATCTTATCTCTCATCTCTCAATTACCTCTACATGCTAAAAGTTACTATATTAATTACTAATTGATTTTGATTTGGATGAGTTAGACACTTTAACATAAAAAATAAAATATGTGATTCAAGTGACTCACAGGATATTAAAATTTTATGCCTATTTTTCTGTGTTTTTAAAATTTTATTTTCATGGACCCATAAAATGATAAATTTTCATTGTAATCAAAGCCGCCAAAAAATCTAGTTCAGCTTGCATCTACACCAGCAAGGAACCAAAAGTATCTAAAAAAAAGGTATTGGCTCACAGTGTTCAATAAAAATAGACTTAAAAAAAATTATCATGAAGTTTATGTTGAAAATTAAGTAATTTTAGCATTAGATTCAAATTTAAATTTTTGTATAATGAAACCTATACTCAAATGAATCTCTACTACATATTATAGATTTTTTTTTAAATAAGGTTATGTTTCGTTTCAACATATAATCAAGGCATCTTGGTCTTTTTGAAGACAAGGCTTTGTTTGGCATACCGACTTGGGACTAATAATTTTCTCGGCCTAACTGAATGATATTGGGTGGTGAGGAGCCCCTAACAAGCACTGACACTAGTCGTGACATTGGGCTAAATGGCCCAATGGTTATGGACTCAGATCTAATTGACCATGTTTGGTAGGGTTTATTTTCAGTTTATTTCAGCTTTTAACTTAATTTAAGCTATTTTGATGTGTTTGGCTCAACTTAATAGTACAGTTTATAGCGTTTTATAAGTCAAAAATCAACTTATTCTTTGAGTGAGGGAGGAGAAACTTAATTTATAAGTCAAAAATTAAATTATGTTCACAGCTATAAACTATAAGCTATTAGACTATAAGTTATAATCACTTTCTTACAGTTTTACCAAACAGGCTATTGTCTGATTGAGCCTGCCGTTGCGCACACCACCACAACCACCCGAAATAAGTAGGTTCACCAAAAACAAAAGAAAATTTGCCAACCCATCATCATTATTTATTAGGGTAAATTACACCTAGATTTGAAAAGATATATATAATAAATGACAATTCTCAAGATTTTAACTCATATAATATTTAATTATTTTTTTATTATCAATAATTCGTTAGTTATTTGAAAGTAAAAAAAAGATATTATCATTCCTTTCATACTAAAATGTATATTTGTCTTTATTTATTTTAGTGTATACTTAACATTGGCATTAGTTTCGTTTATTTTAATGAAGTTAATGTATTTATATAAAAAAATATAAAATTAATTATATGTTTTTAAACTTTAAAGAGGTGAATATAATTTATCTAAATTTTAATCTTCATAGCTAAAAATACATGACCATATGAATTATTACTGAAAAAAAAATAAAAAACAACTACTCTTCAAAATTAGTCCTAAATTTTATAACGGTGGTGCTAGAGATCACTAATTTAGTGGCTCTAAATCTATCACTACTGAGGTGGTAAAGCGAAAAAAAAAAAAAAACAGACACAATACAAACTGTGGCCTACTGCCACATCACTAATGATAGCTTTAATTAGAGTTCCCACTCATTTTTCATTTTATAATCAATAATCTATAGAGACAGAATTAATGGGCACCATAGATGTCAGACAATGATACATAGTACATACCCCACTACCAATGAGATCACCATAGATGTCGGATAATGATACATAGTACATACCCCACTACCCATGAGATCGTTCCCTCACTTGTTCAACCTGTATTTTATAAAGTCAATTATTTGTGGAAAATTATTAAAATTCTCGGACTAACACAGGTTTATACTCCTTAACTAACTGAATGAATTATCATTTAATATGTTTTCTCATATTTCTTAATCACCCAACACAATACCTCACCTACTCATATTCTCCACCAATCATAATATTATAGAATACCACGTGTCCATACTCCAAGATTAGCCTAAAAAATGTGGGTTTCTTTCACGGATTTAGTTTTTTTTTTAAGTTATCATCTTAATTTAAGAGAGTGTTTTGACTTAATAAATCCATTTTGAAACCTTTTTTAGTGATCCAAATTGTTTACTGTTTAGGCTTTATTTAGTAGAATATTCATGTGAAAAACTAAAATGATTGAATATCGATAATTATATATTTGAATCATATTTATTTTACAAAAATGGATGAAAAATATAATTTTTAAAATAGCTATCCATTTTTTGTAACAGAATTTTAATTCAAACTTATAGTTACCGATGTTTGATTATCTTGATTTTTCGTATGAATATTCTACTCAACGAGTCTTACAAAGTGAACGGTTCAGATCATCAAAATCAATCCTAAAATGAGTTCACTAAGCCCAAACACTCTCTTAAATTGAGATGACTAACTTGAAAGAAGCAAAACCTTCTTTTTCATTTCTGTCAAGATGGTCTATCTATGATTGTCTATTTCAGATTTAATAAAGCTTGTCCCACTACTTTAAATGACAGGATGAGAATCAAGATGGCAAAGATGGGTCCTATGTACAGTGCTACATGAAGGAGAACAATTGCTCCTCAGTTGACACTGCAAGAAAGCAAGTCATTCACATGATATCACAAGCATGGAAGAGCCTCAACAAGGAATGCCTATCTCCAAATCCATTCTCATCAGCTTTCACAAAGGGTTCTCTTAACATTGCAAGGATGGTTCCTTTGATGTATAGTTATGATGACAAACAAAACCTCCCAGTCCTTGAGGAGTACATGAAGTCTATGTTCTACGATAAATTACCTTAGGTGAGTGAGCATTGTTAGATGCTCTGCAACTTCTTCACTATTGATGCTACAAACCTAGCACCTGTAATGCTCATAAACTAGTTGTTTGGTGAGGAATAAGTGTATAGTCCAACAAGATGCAAGAAAAATGTAGTAGTTATGTTACAAGGTAAAAGATGTTACTTTCCAATCTACTAAGGTTCTTAGTAGTGTTTGAATCTAGGATTTGAAAAAGAATTTGTGGAGGAAAGTGTGAAGCCTCTATTTCATTCACTTTTCTTTTCTATTCATAAATCTCTTCTCAAATCCAAGATTCACGCACAGTCTATCTGTATCATGGCTTAAATTTATGTCTTGGATTCAAAATGCAAAGAAAAATGACACCATCAGAATATTTCAACTAAAGAAAATGACAACATTATAATGAGATAACAGAATTGCTATCTAAACAATTTTTCAGTCAAGGATGCCAAAAGATATAAAAATCATTCATTCTGACTTCTCACATTGGGCACAAATCTTTTCTTCCATCAATCCTCATCCAATCACCTAAATTGCTAACTAAACAAATTTTCAGACAAGGAGGCCAAAAGATACGAAAATCATCATTACTTCTCACATTGGGCACAACAATCTTTTCTTCCATCAATCCTCACCCAATCACCTAAATTGCTAACTAAACAAATTTTCAGACAAGGAGGCCAAAAGATACGAAAATCATCATTACTTCTCACATTGGGCACAACAATCTTTTCTTCCATCAATTAATTGACTTGATGATTTATTAATAAAAGAGGCGATTTGTTATAAAATTAGAAACCTCATGGAGTGGAATGTAATTTCCAGAACTACATAGGCAATTCATATTTTAATTAAACCTCAGGGGTGAATTTGTAATTTACCATTTTCTAAAAGACCAATTAAATGAAATTGTGTAGTTACGATTAGGGTGAAGTACCAATAAATCTCAAATAGTGATTTTATAAAATGTTTGGTTTTCCATTTTTTCTTATACATCTAAAAGTCTCATTCTAGTGTGAATTATATAAAGTGCCAAGTATAAACGCGTGGATATTACGTGTTGAGAGACAAATGTGGGTTTTCTCATAATGTTGAAATTACTAAACGTAACACTTCAAAAAAAAATTCTTAATTTACTTTTCCTAAACGTAACACTTCAATACAACACTAAAAAAACATAAAACTCCAATATAATACACTAAAAAACTCCTTAGTGTATTTTTCTCAAACGTAACAATATAACATTCAAAAAAACTCCTTAATGTACTTTTTCAAAACGTAGCAATCCAATTAATGTAAAACACAAAACCTTTTTAGTGTGCTTTTTCCAAACATAACGCTCCAATGTTACACATTAAAAACCTTCTTAGTGTACTTTTCTCAAATATAACAATGTAACATTTTAGAAAAACTTCTTTGTGTATTTTTTTTCAAATGCAACACTCTAATGTAGCACTCTAATATAACACTAGAAAATCATACTAACAAAAATGTAGATTTTCATACTTAACAACCAACACTTCAACCACAAATCCCTCCAAAAAGAATCTTCCACACCTTACCTTTCCATTCACATACCAAAAATGAATCAGAAAATTGAAAAAATGAATCACAAAAGGATATTCACTTTAAACTCAAATGGCACCAAATCAAATGAATATAACTTTTCAAAACAAAAGGGACTAATTGGTTCATAAGAAAACTCTTAAGACTAAATGAATCAACATTCTCTCATATGAGATTTATGGGTAAATTTTTTTTACGATTATTGAATTAAATTAATTTTTTTATGTATATAAACTATACAAAAAAAATCTAAAAAATAACATCTTAAATCACCAAAATAAGATACCACAGATCTAATTGTTTTGGACTGGACTTTCTCCAGATTGTATTTCCACTCCAATTCAGTGAAAATATTAATAAAATGATAACATGTAAGTTTTTTTAAAAAATTTAAAAGATCACATATTTTTTATGTATCACTTTTTTAACGTTAATAAGATTCTTAATAAAAAATAAATTTATTTTGAGGTGAAAAAATATATATATATATTGATAGACATCAAAAAAAATAAAACAAATTAATGCATCAAAAACAAAGAGTTCACTATAAAATTTGTTGCACATCCACGTGCAATCATACATTGGGAATTTATTTATTCTAAAGTTAAATGCAACATTCGATTCCAACCAAAAAAACAACAAAATAAAGCTTGAACCACCTTGGCCTTGGTAACTCTCTGATCTCATTCGATTCAGTCAACTCAACAAATGACTTGATTCACATGATTTTCTGTTTTTAAATTTGGCCAAAGCTATATAAACTTAATTTTTTTTTATCATATATTTTAATCAATCAATAATAAATTATTTTTAAATATAAATCGAATTACATTAATTTAGACAATATATCAACACATATCTATAAGCACAAAAATTAACACAAAAGAAAGCCCATAATAAAAGTAATAACAAACTCAATATAACAAAAAAATTCATAATAAAAGAAAAATAATTATTATTTATCTTCAAGTTGATCCCCGGACCCAATATCTTTATATGTTGTTCTCTATATGTGGATAATATATTTAAATTTTAAGTAATTTTTTGATAAGTAACATTATATGATACATTAAAACTACAATAATAAGATAACTAACGTTTCATAACAAAAAAATATGAAATCAAATGTATATGTGAGTACAATGAGGTTCACATTAGATGAAAATATACATCTAGCTAGTGGATTCATATCATTTCAATTCCAAAATGGCATTATTAATTTTTGAGGGGTGCATTTAGAGGCACCCGAGATGGTCAAATTAAGTAGAGTAAAATTAGGAACATACATACCCTTGTAAACTCCTTGATAGATGTGAGGTAACTCTGCAAGATACTTGACAATGAAAGCACAAGCAGAGCTTGCAGTGTCATGGCCACCAATAAGCAAACCCAATATCTTATCTGCAACATTACTCTCCTTCATGAACTTGCCATCCTTATCCGCCATGAGCAACATGTGTGGGACAATATATCTTGCATTGGTGATGCCTTGCCCTCTGCCAAGTTGATCTTTCTTTGCTTGATGATTCTCATTAGGAACTCCTTTCTGATGTATTCGGACGCCTTGATGGAGCGATGAAATGGTGTCCCTGGCAAGTCCACTGGGATTGACACTAACCCATCTGACAAGACCTTGAAACGTTCCAAGAATCTATCAACTTCCTCTGGATCTTCTATGCTAAGAAACAATCGACAAGCAATCAAGAATGTGTAGCGTTGGGTGAGTAGGTAGACCACAACGATCATGTCCTGTAAAATTATATGCAACAACAAAATTAATAATTATTTAAATAAAAATTAGTATATTTATTGATAAATACAATCGTACAATAATTTAAGTACAATCATACTTAAAAATAGATTTATATCGTTTTAAATTTGAGTCTCGGTATAATAGATTATGACGTTCTTCTCTATAAAATTTAATTGTTAAGGTATTTAACTAGTCTTTCATATTCCCCAAATTAAACAGTACAATGCAAGAAAATAACTCCAATTATTTACTTTTATGTACTTGCAAGGAAAATGTTTTGTAGGATAGCATCAATCAAAAATACGTATGCTCCCTAGTATTTCCCAAACATTTAACAATATAATCTATATTTCACTACTTTTCACCAATGATTATGGTAAAATATATTACATGTATATATATTCTATCCACATATAAAATCACTTCCTTGCAAGAGTACAATTATTTATTTCCCAAATTACTTTGGCTTTTTCTCTCAATCTTGAAAGTCATAGATAGATGGTGGAGTAATTTTTATGTGTGATATTTTTTATTATTGTAATTAGTTTTGATAGTAGAATCTATTATATTTATATTAGACGTTTGGAAAATATTAATAAACTAAAAAGTTGACATCTTAATAGGGTAATCCAATTCTCGTACATAACCAAACGCCCAAATAACAATAGATAAAAACTTAAAATTATCCAAATACAACATCAAATGGAATTATAAAGTCCTTAATAGCTATTATATAAAATAATATAATTTATTCGACTCTACTCGGGTTTCAGGTCAGCCAAGGCTCTACGTTAGCGTCGACTCCATTTCAACTTCAATTATTTTCTCGCCAAGACCTGGCATAAAACGCCAGGACAACAAAAATATATGCCATGAGTTTTGCAGCACAGTAAGAAAACACCAACCTACCATTCTTTTTAAGAGAAAAATAATGAGATTATAAACATGAGGTAACAATATAATTGTAAGCATAAATTCCAACCATTAAAATAACTTTAATAAATTAGGTGACACTCGAAATCTCACCAAAGAGATTTAACTTACCAACCACTAAGCATGGCAACGGTTAATTTGAAACCCTCCCTTGGTCAAATATTCAAGTGTTACCAACCGTAACTACAAGGGATGCCCACGTCCAGAGTGATATACCCAAGTAGTGGCATCCGTGGTCTGCCCCAAGGAAACGGTCTGCCAGGGGTACGTAACCTCCTTGTGTGCCACCAGCACATCCACCCTTATTCCAAAACCAAATACTGAAAAGGGTTCAAATAAGTCCCGTGCCATCTTAGAGTTTCGCAACACAATTTACATGAGAATTCTCAAAACCAGGGCTCACCCTGAACAACCGGTGTTAACCGTCAATCCCTTGATTTCATACACTCTTTAAAATCAGGACTCACCCTGAACAACCGGTATTAACCGTCAACCCTTAATTTCGTACACTCTTTAAAACCAAGACTCACTCTGAACAACTGGTATCAACCGTCAATTTTTAACTTTGTATATGCCGTTACTCATTTCAGTTAATTTTGATATTACTCACAAATAATTCCAAATTTTAACCACAATTGAGGTTATATCAACTCATTAAAATTCCCAACATAAAATATTACATATGTCACACAATAATAACTAAATGTACAACATTTAAATAAACAATTTATTTAAACCATGATATGAAACACATGTCACACAATAATAAATAAATGTACAGCATTTAAATAAACAATTTATTTAAACCATTGTATGAAATAATAATTTAGATACAGAGAAAATAAACCAAAGTCACACACGTGCATGGATCTTTAATTTACAAGATTAGACTACCACAATATTAAATAAACCACAATACACCCATACATGGATTACTAATTTACTATATTTGATGAATTGGATCAACACAATAACTAATTTTTTTATCCGAATAAATAATTGAAGTCATGATCTTAAACCTGTCTAGAAATTTTCAGGTTATACCTTAGGTAATAAAAA